GGTGTGCGCTCGTAAAATCAGTTCGAGATTATTTGCACTTGGCATGCACTGCTGAAATTTCTTCTCAGAATTATTATGAAGCAGAGACCTAGTTAAGTGGCGTGACTTTGTGGCGGTGTGCCTCAGTGCCCAGTTAAATTTCAGCGATCCAGCCTATGGTTTTCTCTTGGAAAATAGTGCCCCGGATACGACAAATTAGCACAAACTACGGAAGGCACAGAGGATAGTTGTCGTGGTAGAGAGGAGAGGCAATTAGCTATTTGCGTTAGATACTTTATGGGCTGTGTGTACCTATAAAAAGGTCTCATAAAGTTAACTGTTTCGGGTAGCTTTGTCTCTAAGGCCTAGATTTGAGTTGTTTTTGGCTGAGTATTATGCAAGCAGAGTATAATGGGCAATTAATCGATAGACTGAGTATACAAGCCAACCCTACAGATGGAGATTTAAATTTCATAATAAATTTGATGTTTATTAAATATATTAATCCTACTTGTAAACGAAGAAATTGGATATTTGGCTGAGAAAAACTTTATTTGGAAAAGGCTCGATGTTTGTTTTGCTGCAATTGCTTGTGATTACAAGCCCCGGGTAATCATAGGGTTGCGGTCACGCTCTGAGAGTTAAGCTGATGAGATTGGGGAGCTAAGCTCAATGCATTTAGAAAGAATATAGAATTGACTCATTTCATATTTAAATATACATAAAATTAGGTTAACTTAATTCTATACAGTATCGCCGAAACGTCTTGGAGGGAACTAACTCTGACATATGATACCGGAAATTATTATGACTATTATGGCAAATGACTTCAGACAAGATACGTTCATCTAAGTTCCTCTGGTAACGCGGCCAAGTTGTGAAAACAAAATCAAACTAGTTATATACAGCGAATGGAGACTGCGACTAATATCGAGGCCACATTATCTTGGTCTCCATATATGCGATTAAATTACGGAATTAATATTGCCAAAAAAATACATGGAATGCTCGGATAAAAACACTATTATAAGAGCTCCAGTCATTTTAGGTTATATAAGATTATGAAGAACGCATAGCTGAATTTTAGCTTAACCTTTTCTCCCAAAAGCTGTTCCCACTCGGGGCAGACGGAAATGTCAACTTCATCTGAGTCTCCGCACATCCAAGTTAATAGGCATCAAATAGTT